TTGATAACTGTAATGTGATATCAGCCAATAGGTATTGATTGGTAAATGTCAGTGTGAGGCAGAAAACTTAGATCAGGCTAAAAAGACAAGGAAAGTGACAGAGTGCATTATTGGTCCTTAGAGATAGACAGGCTAAATGGCAGTGAATAATACCATATAATAAGCCAAACACCAGGGAAACAGAAGTGTATGTTTTATATTAACGTTAACCCCTTTTATCTCCTTTTTGAGGTAGCTTGGTATTTTGGAATACAAGAAAACCCTTTTTTTCTGTAAAATATTTGTTTTTCTACCTGTTGAACATTTTGGATAGTCACTTATATCTTTTTTACTGTTATCAGCAATATTTATATTAAAGGAAGAAATAGACATGTAAATAATATTTACATTTTATATTAACAGGTTAAATAAAGCCTGATTTTGTTTGCTTTTATTTATATCCAGATTATAAACTAATCCGTGTATTTGCCCAAACTAATATGTTAGGTATCATGCCATGCGTTCTGATAACTTATCAATCCCCTCCAGAATTTTTCATCCCTCCTGAAATAGTATTACTTTGAAAATTATCAGCCCACACATCTGCACCAGTTTCGTTAATATTGGTAATGTCATGCTGCTCAGTTAGAGATGTAATTTTTCACTCCATTTTATTTACTTCTCAAAAATCGCAAAATTATAACTTGGAATAATAATAATACCAAGTAGTTTGTATGATGTAAATTAATGTTTTTGTGAGAGACAAAAATATCTAGTCAACAAAATTGTTCAATTCCTACAACCTGTGCTGGATTAGTAAAAGAAGCATTTACAGAATGATGGCTTACGATTTACATGTGCAATGTCATTGCAAATAAGAAGATTTGAAAATATAGCAATTCCATATTTGGAAATCATTTTAAAGAGGATTAGTTCGTTTTGATAGTAAGGAAATCTGTGATTCTCATAATTGTTACACTGTCTGCATTTTTTAGATTGCAGTTCATGAAAATATTCTTCAACGGGAACTCAAATTTTTTTCCGCTTTTGCTCAACCACAAACCTAACTGTACAGCAACAGACTAATCGTAATTGGCAGACATTGAGAAAGAGAGATTTACATTTTTCTGCATTAGTGAGCTGATTTGGTTGTAACCGTTCCACTAATATTAGAAAGCTGTTGGCCAAGTTTTTCTCAAAACTAAGTTAGATGAAGGATAATGTACTGGGAAATCAGTTTTGTAATTAAAATCTAAAGGCTGGGGGAAGAAGAACAAATTTGACAAACTACATGTGTTGTAGGCTAAGAGCAGTCATTTCTTCTTACGGATTGAACGTAAACATTACAGCCAGAAAATCTCCAAACTAGGAGAGATAGGCATGCCACTCTCCCTGGACAAAGATAACAAGTTGGATAGGAATAAAAAATGTTTTTTTAAATAATTAATATTTTTTAATATTAATAATCAAATGTTCCCACAAAGTGTTATCTCACACCCTCCCATGCACAAGCAGCCCCTATCTCACACTACTTCTCCTAAGCATACATACTGCATTCCCAACATACACTCACACACTCTCTGCATTCCCTACACACAAATACATGCTGCACCCCTTACAAACACACTCACACACAGACCCTGCATTCCCTACACACCCACATCCAGTAAACTCTTTGCCAACAAGTTTACTCAATAAACCCATGGCATGCATTTTAATTAACCCCTTAAGGACCAAACTTCTGGAATAAAAGGGAATCATCACATGTCACACATGTCATGTGTCCTTAAGGGGTTAAAAAGGTAAGGAGTGTGGAGTCAAGCAATACAAACTTATTTTAATTGAAAATCAGGATCAAACCGATAAATTGGTATTCTTCAGTTATGTCTTTCGTTTAATCTTCAGGTAGTCATATTTAAAACAAATATACAAGCTCCTGCAGTCTCCTTTGATATTTATTTTATTAAAACAAATAATGTGTGGATTTAATTAACCACTTAAGGAGACATGACCGTCTATGTTGTCATGCAGTGCAAAACTTTAATGTCCAGTGATGGCTATAACTGTCATTCAGTAAAGGTACCAGCAGGGGTTAAAAACCTGCTGGTACCAAGGACTCGATACATAGGCATCCTCC